TGTAATAAATGTAATAAATTGCACTTATCCCCGTGATCTTAAATCACGCTTGGGCCGCAGCAATTGGGTCGGTTTCCGGGGCTCACAGTATCAGCGGTGATCGGATGTTCAATTAGCCGGTGGTGTCACAAGTGTATTATGTCACGGGAAATTGGATGATCAATGCAATTAATAATACATATGCTTGAATCACTAATTGTATTGTTGTACTAATTAGTAATAACAATACGTCACGGGGAAGTTAAGTATTTTTCTATATAAGGGTATCAAATACGGGTTTTGGTTCTTTGTATTCATTTAATTGAATCAAGACTTTCGGTTTTAACTATAGTTTCGGGATACTACTTATGGATGTAACGATTTCAGTTGGATCGATTTTGGGTTAGAAGAAATAATTTATTAGGGAACAACTTCTACTATAAGGACTTCGAAGTTTAAGAGTTATGAAACTCCGTAGAGTTATATTTTTATTTAGCGGTGAGCAAAGAGCTCTTATATAGACAAAAATTACATGCTAAGAAAAGATAAAATAAAGTCGATTTTATCTTTTGTATCCTTTTTATCTTTTTTATCTATTTTATCATTTTTATCATTTTTGTCTTTTTTATCTTCGTCCCACCTTCTACTAACTACATATGGCAATTATTGCCGGAAATAGAAATAAAATCAAAAAAATAATAAAAATAGAAATGGCACAACCCAATTTCAGGGTATTGAACCTAGGTGCCGCACAAAAAATGCACGGCAGATCCACAATTTTGATTGGCTAAGAGCGACGATCAAAAAATTAGGCTGGAATTACTCATAATTTTACTAATGAAATCACAGCTGCCCACTAAGTGAAAATTGTTCCTGGTCAATTTTACAATAATGCGAGCTTATTTTTGTAATGAAAAAATTAAAAAGTTAATTCCGGCCAGAAATTAGTAAACAATTATGTAGTTAGCCAATCAAAATCGAGGATCTGCTGCGCATTTTTTGTGTGGCACCTAGGGTTAATATTTCGGGGTGGTGCTGCGCCTTGGTTGCCTATCACAACGTAGAGATTGACAGGGCGTAGGATCGATTTTCCGATCACGTGACATCCGACCCTTATTTTCGACACGTGTCGGTATACTTATTTATTTATTGCAGCATTGTATTACAGTATTGTATTATTTAAAAGCAAATTTGTACAAGAAAAAAAAATCTAAGACAAAAATAAAGTCCAAGGTTTTGATCCCCACCAAGTAGGAATACACTGTCGCCTGTTTTGTGCTGTTTCTATATCAGTAATGACTGTAAAAGCACGACCTAAGTTATTTATAACTGCCTCTACATGTTGTAAATTGTTGCTTGTTAACTCTGTATTTAAATGACCAACTAAACAATTTAATAAAGCTATTTTAGATTCAATTTCTTGACGCCGGTTTATATCCTTAGCACCTTCTTCGGCAGAATTTTCTAATGAAGATGGATTATATGGTATTAAGTTTGGGATAGCTTCAGGTACATCTTGAGTTTCACTTCCATCCCAGATTAAAAATGGATATTCAGTTCGCCGTTTAAAATTAGAATAAACTAATCGAACATCTTGTTTTTCTAATACCATGGGATCAAATGCTTGCAAATTAAAAAATGGCTATTAAGAAAATAAGGGCAGCTACATATCCAGCAACTCAAATCAATATAATAACATTCACTAATCTCTTTGTCAATCGATTTGTTAGCAAGATTCTTCCATTCCTTCTTAAAGTCATCAAACCATGATGGAGGTGTTCTACCAAGTGAAATTTGCTGAAGGTGGGTAATTTGGTCAGGCAATACTCGAGTACAAATAATCCAAGTAAGATAATCAAGTCTTGGCCGATTAAACTGATAAAGGTAATTGTGTTTTAAAACCTTCCAATGGGCCTTGATCATCATATTAGTTTTACCAAGAGGTATTGTTTCCCGTGTAGAACGGGCCCAAAGACACCATCTGGAAGGTTTGTACTAGGCACACCACAAATATGCCCAAAGTAATACAAGATTATTTGTATTGCAAAATTCATATATTTCATGGACTGCCTTTATTCTTATTTCTTTAGAAGATAGAAATTGACCATCAGCACTAGTTGGAATTTTGGGATGCATATTGAAATGCTTTTTAATAAGGTTAATGATATCTTAATGCAGGTTAGATGGACAGACGATATAGTATTCTTTATCTTCGCGCTTTAGATCAGGTTTGAAAGAAGAATCAACAAAAGAAAACTCATTCACAACTTCATTATACTGATAGTCAGTTCGTTTGATTTTATTTTTGCTTCTAATTTTTTTCTTGAGAGCTTTTTCAATATGCCATAGGCAGAGTTGTATACTACACACCAGCCATATTTTTTTCGCAGCATTTATTTCAGTGAAGTCCTTATCGGTATAAAAGTAGATAGGATGCAACTCTTTGCTGTAAAGGGCACCAAAAAAACTTTCAAGAGCTTCAGTTTGCAGTTTCTCTTGTGCTTCATCACCAATTTTCGTCATATCAAGAATGAGGTAAACCAGAGAGAAACCCGCACCTGTGTATAAGTAACAATAGTTAATATATAGTGTTTTATAATGGTTTCAAATATAAATAGGTGGCAAAATTCAAAAAAGAAAATTACAATATTACTTAATTATTAATTATATATTTTAATTTTCTTTTTGAATTTTGGCACCTATCTATAATCTCAGAAAAGAAGAAAAAGAGTACCTTCAAAATTTCCGACAATTCCATAGAGTTCAAAACGTCCTTTGGAGGTTTTGTACGTAGCATCACAATGGATCTCTAGTATATTTTGTAATGAATAAAATAAGGGGGTTGTAAACCCGATTGCTGTAATATAACTAGTTTCTGTTTGAAAGCACAGATCGTAATTATTCTTTTCCTGCTGCTCAAGAAAAGTACATGCAGAAATAACATGATTTTCTTCACTTTTATAAAATTTTTGCGCATAATAGGACCACCAGTAGTAGATTTGTTTCGAAGTAATTTTAGATATATCAAATTTCTTTCGAAGATGAGTTCGTAAGTGTACTGGATCCATATTTAGGTTTTCTATAATTTCTTGTTTTACTTCTGGAGGTGTTGCAATATCAATAGGTCTTTCATATATTAACTCATGCCATAGTGTTACTTTGGCTTTTGCAGCTGGAATGTCAATGTTGATAGTTAATTTGCCACCACAATCAAAATGATTGATTCTTTTGCGATTTGAGTCTTTGTATTCACGTTTAAGCTCAGTACTTTGAAAACATACAAAGTATGTATTACCAACGCCTTCATAATGTGATAAAATGTTTGGTGCAGTTGTAGCGCTATATAATAAGAATATTAGATTAAATTAGAAAAAAAAAAATTAAGACAAGTAATATTATGTTTTGATTTTATAATTTACTTATATCCATTTGAAATCATCTCCTTCTTCAATTTCGTCAATGATTAGTTTAGCCATTACTCTAACATCGATGCCAACAGCATTAAGAGTTGCTTTATCAAGTTTAACATAAAAAGTAGAAAATAGAGCAGTATCATTTTCCAATCCATTAATCATATCAAAAATATAATTATTAATTTCATCAATTGCAATTATTTCAATAGGGGCTTCTTCAGTATCAATATCAGTTGTTTTTTTGGATTTTTTCTTTTCGGCTCTATTAGTTTTGCATTCAGCACATGTCTTATATGATTTATTTTCATATATAAACGCTTCAGGAGGAAGTATACGATTACAAGAGGTGCAAGTATCCATTAGATCACAACTGCGTTGATTCAAGGCTTTAGAGATAAGTTTTTTTAAAAAATTTTGTTGAATTATTTAATTTATTTTCGCTAACGAATTTATTATATAGGCATTTCGTATTAATAAAAATGAGGTAATGATTAAGCAATTTCGATTTATCAAATTTATTATTTTCGATTTATTTGTAATTTATTTGACTCTACCATAATTTTTGTAATTTTATGAATTCGCATAAAGTTGGAGTAAATATATTTTATGCAAATTATGACTACAAACTTTTACGTTATTATTTTTCAAATTGTAGCTTTCTTGAGATATAGAGTACTCTCAAGCACATTAATTGGTAGAAATTAGTTTATTCAGCAAGCAATTTCATTATTATGATGGGAAAAAAAAAGTTTGCTCGATGACTTTTTTTTTTTATCAAAAATTGGGCTGATTGGTGAAATTAATATCCGACTTCGCAGCACGAATCTTTACTATAAGGATGCCTTAATTAATTATAGTACTTGAGCACACTTTATAACTAGCCCAGTTTGAGAGCACCTATAATCTTGCCAAAATTACTGAAGTCACATAATTTACATATAACCTAATTATGATCTGTTTAACTTCGACTATTTATTTTTTGGATATTATCAATTGTATGATAAGGCCAAATCAAATAAATTGCAAATTATCATTAAGATTTATTCAACCCGATTTATCATTTAATTTATAATTTATATTAATAAATTAATCATAAATTTCTTCTCGTACTTCAAAAAAAAAACCAAGTTTATTGCATTTGTTAAATTTGATTAATTGGTCGATTGGACGGACTGCGCCGAGATATGCGATCTAGGTCAGAAAGTCATGTGATCGGAAAATCGATCCTACGCCCTGGCATTGTTCGCTTGTAGCTATCATCGCTCTTAATATATACAATATATTCTTTTATTACGAACAAACTGATAAAGATTTCTGGATGGGCATAGCGAATGCTAGAAGCATTGAAATCATAAACGAAAAGCAATTAAAATTAATTGAAGAAGATAATTGAATAAGAATCAAATAAATATTTATTGATGGGTGTAGTGAACGCTAGAAGCATTGAAATATTTTTAATTTTTTAATAAATAAAAATAATTTATTTAAATATATATAATTTTTTTTAAAAAAAAAGTCAAGATTTTTTTTTTAAAAAAAAAGTCAAGATTTTTTTTTTAAAAAAAAAAATCAGTCGAAAATTTTTTTAAAAAAATTGAAGTTGAGATTTTTTTTAAAAAAAATTAAAATCGAAATTTATTTTTCTTTTTTTAATTAAAAATTCAAAGTCAAGATTTTTTTTTGATTGGTTTGCAATATCACGTTATTTGAAATTATAATTTTGTCTTATCAAAAATTTGGTTTATCAATGACCAATAGAAACTTGGGGAGAAATTAGTAAATACTCCCCGGGCCAAGTCAAGAGAATTTTGTGTTGATATAATAATATGATGTAAATGAATTCTTTCGACTAGGGTAAAATTGCCACCCAAAAAAGTTTTGAAAATCATGCGGTATTGTATCATTAGGATCATGATAATAATATTTAATTGATTCAGAAATGATTTTGTTTTCTTCGATTCTTCAAAATGTAAAACGATCGTTGCAATCTTTTAAAAA